CCACCCTCTCCATATCCGCCATTTGGATAACCTCAGTAGGCGCAGCTAAGAATGGGAAAGAATTTGAGGGCATTGTAGAGACAAAATAAAACATAAATACAGAGCCACAACCAGACTCGAAAAGAAACATCTAAGGACTGCGGCTGAGATCCAGGCAAACAGTAGACCAGTGCTTGAGAGGAGCCTGCATTAATCAAAGAGAGAATGTATTTGGAACTAGGTCACTGAGCGTGAAGATAAACCCACAATGTGGCACAAGGGACCAGGGGAGCTTGCCAGCTCAAAGGAACATAACCAGACCCTTCCATTTTCAATTTGTGCCTCATTGACAAGATGAAGGAGCAGAAGATAAATGAACGTAGGTATAGAGGCCTGTTTCCAGGCAGTCATAAATCTTAGACATCTCTTGGAGCAACGGTGGAACAGATAAATAACTGCCATGCTCACACCCTCCCCTTGGAGAGATTTCTCCGATTCATGTCATAGCTGCAGGCAGAGAATTAATCCCAAAGAAAGGCTTGTAACCAACCAGGTCCCAGTTCAAACCTTTCTGCTGGTATTCTACAACTCAAAATTGATAGGAATCATTTTGAACATTTAACCTCTAACCAGGTCATGATCTTTTCCCCTTAATTCATAGAATCCTTCCAGTATGGAAAGAGGTCATTCAGCCCATTGAGTCCACCCTACCCCACTCTACAAGCATCCCACTTGGAATCAACCCCCTGTCCTATTTCTGTAACCCTGCATTTCCCATGGCTAATCCACCCAGCTGGCACTTCCCTGGACACTATGTGAAATTTAACATGGCCAATCCACCCTAACCTACACATCTTTGGACTGTGGGCAGAAACTGGAGCACCTGGAGGAAACCCACACAGACACAGGGAGAATGTGCAAACTCCACACAGACAGTCACCTGCAGGTGGAATTGAACCCGGGTCCCTGGCAATGTGAGGCAGCTGTGCTAACCACTGGGTGTCTACACACCATTTCCATCCATCAATCAGCCTTGAATGCCTCAACTGAACCTGCCCCTCCATATACTTTCCAGACTCTAACTGACTGGGGACTCTTTATCAGCTTGAGCTAATTCAAACGTCTGCCATTTGTCACTTAAATTTCTGCCAAGTTCTGTTCATCCACTGCACACTTGCCCCCTTTACCTGCTTCCCACGCGCTCAGTAACTTATCTTAGCTTTTTACCCAGCAATGCATCAAATTTAAAATTCTCGCCCCGTTTTCAAATGGCTCCCCAATTTTAATTACTTTGCCAAGGTGTGGCCCTCAGCTCTGCTTCATCGATGACCTTCCCTCCATTGCAAGGTCATTGATGGTTGCATAATGTTTGGCACCATTCGCACCTCCTTAAACACTGAAGTGTTCATGTGCAACAAGTTCTGGAAACCCTACTTGACATTCGTGCCACCCAAGTGCCAGGTGATAACATCCCCAACAGGAAGTCCACTATTGCCCCTTGACATTCAATGCCATTCCCATCACTGGAGTGTTCTCGATTGTTGCTTATCCGGACAAAAGTGGAGAGTGTTCCATTACACTCCTGACTTGTGCCTTGAAGATAATGGATAATGCATTAAATAGTACCAGTGCACTAACTATCTCCAGAATTAATTTCTACCTAGGGTTGTTGACAACTTCTCACAGAAAGTGTGGGACTGGAGTTACATGGAAGCCCAGACTAGGCTTTAAAAAATTCACTCATGGGATGTGTGTGTAACTGGCTACGTCATGTTTATTGCCCTTGAGAAGGTGGTGGCATCCTTGGACCACTTCATTCCTTGAGCTGTACAGACACCAGCAGTGCTATTAAAACCTAAAGCAGAACAGAAAGAGCGTGATCATTCAGAGATAGTGCACCGGTCCAGGCAGCAGATCAATGAGACCTGTATCAGGGAGGGAAAAGCCTGAGAGAAATGTTAAACTTGAGATTGTGTTTCATCAAACAGTGTTGAGGGAGCTTTACTGTGTATCTCAACCCGTGCCGTCCCTTTCCGAGAAGTGTTTATTGCGGACAGAGTGAGCAGGGAAGTAGGATTAGTTTGGGGACTGATACACGGCTGTGGGGAGAAAGCCAGGCAGTAGGATCAATCTGGGATTAATACAGGGCTAATTCCGCTGCTCTGCTCACTCCCTCCTAGCCCTGTATCAATCCC